CATCAGCATCATCGTAATCGCAGTTTCAATTACAAGCATCACGATACTCATCAACACGGCAATCACTATCATCAGCATTCATCATCATCATCATCATCATCATCATCATCATCATTGTCGTCGGCATCATCACCGTTATCATCATCAGCAGGATCGTCAGCAGCATCATCATCACCACCAGTATTATCATCACCAGCATCATCAGTGCCTTTACAATCCTCATCAGCAGCATCATCATCATCATCATCAGTATCCCCTCTCTGTCTCTCCAGTTCGCCCCCTCTTCTCGGCCTTCTGCTGGTGAAGATGCTGCCACTCATCTCATCTCCTCATCCTCCTCCTCCCGCTCCTTCCACTCCAGTTCCCACTGTTGCTGATCGTCCCCGCCCTCCTCCTCCCTCATCCTTATTTTCCTCCTCTTCACCCTCCTGCTCATCCGCGAACTCCTCCTCCTCCTCCTCCTCCTCCTCCTCGTCCTCCTCCTCCTCCTCCTCCTCCTACTCCTCCTCCTCCTCCTCCTCCTCCTCCTCCTCCTCCTCCTCCTCCTCCTCCTCCTCCTCCTCCTCCCCCTATGTCGCGCAGCTCCCATGTTTCGATTGCGCATAACACGATGTGGTATCTTGGGGACTTTCAGGTCCGCTATGACACGCGTCCGCGGATAAGAAAAAATCCGTCGGCCCCCCTGTGGGGCCACCAGGCTGTAGGACAAAGGTTCGCAGTTTCCTGTACCAGTTGCAGCTTCCAGTTTCCACTGTTACATTTCTGCTTCTTGCTGCTTACTGTTCCTTGTTGACTTCTTGCTGCTTACTGTTCCTTGTTGATGGACCGCGCGAGGGGGGGAGGCCCAAAACGGGCATTTTTACCACGCCCTGAGCGTGTTGTCTGAATTGCTGGGGTGGGTAAAAATTTACACCTCTCACGCAAATCGGCGGGGTCAGAGTCCAAACACACACGGGATTTGCCACATTTCTGAAAGGGCACCCCTCACGCAGACCGGCGGGGTCAGGGTCCAAAAACACATGGGATTTGCCACATTCCCGAAATTTGCTGGCACCCCTCACGCAGATCGGCGGGGTCAGGGTCAAAAAAACACACGGGATTTGCCACATTTCTAAAATTTGCTGGCACCCCTCACGCAGATCGGCGGGGTCAGGGCCCAAAAAACACACAAAGGATTTGCCACATTTCTCAAATTCGGCGGAACCCCTCACGCAGATCCGTAGGGTCAGGGTCCAAAAACACATGGGATTTGCCACATTCCTGAAATTCGGTGGCACCCCTCACGCGTATCGGCAGGGTCAGGGTCCAACAAACACAAGGGATTTGCCACATTTCTGAAATTCGGCGGCACCCCTCACGCAGATCGGCAGGGTCAGGGTCCAAAAACACAGGGGATCTGCCACGGTTCTCAAATTCGGCGGCACCCCTCACGCAGATCCGTAGGGTCAGGGTCCAAAAAACAAAGGATTTGCCACATTTCTCAAATTCGGCGGCACCCCTCACGCAGATTGGCAGGGTCAGGGTCCAAAAACACAAAAAGGATTTGCCACATTTCTGAAATTCCGTGGCACCCCTCCCGCAGATCCGTAGGGTCAGGGTCGAAAAAACAAACAGGTCCCGACACTGCTTCACGGCGGCGCCCAGACCTCATGATTTAGCTTTTGCATCTCCCATTATCGGAGACAGGGGGCTGGCGGCACGGGGCGAAGCCCTTACGGATTGGAACGGATGAGTGGGAGGTGTAGGATGTCAGATATGGCACGAGAACACCCAGCTTGTCTACCACCATCACCACCACCACCCCCTGTCCCTCCGCACAGGGAGTCGCAGCGACAGGAAGGGAAGCTGGCCCTGCAGGTATGTTAACCGCGTTCGGCCTCCCGCGTTCGGCCTCCCGGGGCCCTCCCGGAGGCGGAAGCGGCCTCTCACCGTTCAACCTATCCGCCCGTTTTAGCGTCTCTCGGAATATCTTTGCTGGCTGCCCGATAGTTTTCTCACCACGCCCTCCCGAATCAGCTGCCGTCTCCACTGCTACAGCTTGCATCGGGCCTTTGGGATTCATCGGGCACCACCCTCAAGGTCTTCAGGTAGCCGACGATCACGATGTCGAAAAACTCCCCCCACGGCCGTTCTCCCCGCAACCCGCTTAGCGACACATCCACCAGCTCCGTGTTCAGGCCGAACGGCCATGAAGTCAGTCGGCATGAAGCTTCGCCCGTCATCCCTGTGTTCTTCATGTTCCTCCTCCACACCCCCCCCCCACCACCATCATCATCATCATCATCATCATCATCATCATCATCACCACCAAGACCACCACCACCAGCATTATTATTATCATCATCATCATCATCATCATCATCATCATCATCATCATCATCATCATCATCGGCATCATCATCATCATCAACATCATCATCATCATCATCATCACCATCACCATCACCATCACCATCGTCAGCATCATCATCGCCATCACCATCCACATTACCCACCATCGTCCCGCCATCGTCAATCATCGGCAACAAAATCACAAACGTCAAATCGTAATCAACCGCATCATCATCATCAACATAAGCATCAGCATCGTGATCATCGTAATCAAACTCAGAAGCGTCATCATCATCATCGTCAGCATCAGCATCGTCATCATGATCACCACCACCAATCTCATCAACACCATCATCGTCATCAGCATCATCATCATCATCATCATCATCATCATCATCATCATCATCATCATCATCATCATCATCATCATCGCTTATCGTTCCTCGCTGCTCGCTCCTCGCTCTTCGCTCCTCGCTCCTCCTCCTCCTCCTCCTCCTCCTCATCCTCATCGTCCTCGACTTTTTCCTCCGCCGCTCGACCTGGAAGAGGAGGAGATGCAAGAGAGAGGAGGGAGGAGGGAAGGAGGAAAGGAGGGAAGGACGAGGGGGGAGGAAGGAGGGAGGCAGGGAGGGAGGAAGGAGGAGAAGGAGGAGGAAGAGAGGGAAGGAGGAGGAGGAGGAGGAGGAGGAGGAAGAAGAGGGAAAGAGAAGGAGCAGAGCAAAGCAAATCCTCATGGAACCCCTGTCTTGGCAGACGAACTGACGACCAGAAAAGCTAGACTGGTCTCTAAGAGGGGTCCTTTGAAACCAGGGGACTTTCAATGCGAGCGCTCCTAAGTCTCACAGCGAGAACTGCATTGGCCGACTGGCACTCCGATGGGCACGTAACCCGCAGAGGGGGCCAGCAATCCGATACCTCTCTCTCCAGCGGGCCCCGCGAGGGCAACCTCGAAAGGAAGAAGCCCCCCCCGCCACCGACGCGAACGTCTCGATCATCGGGCCCACCACGGAGCTCACCTGGCGGCGAAGGTCCATTCTGAAGAGGAACATGCACATGCTCCCCTGGCCCTCAGACTTGCGGCGCAGCTCCACCCGAGAGCACTGGACCGCACGCGCCACCTCGGAGATGGCGCACTTGCTAAGCTTCTCGCCCCAATGATCTGGCATCTCACTTTTGAATTCCTGGCTTCGTGGTTCACCTCTATATCTGCCTCTTCTGCAACTGCTTTCGAGGCTCAGCACTCCCACGCGGCCATGGAAAGCATCGGGCGATGTGGGCCTCGAAATATGAGGTCCACCTGTTCGCCAGCGCCGGCGCGTTTCTTCATCTCTTCGCTCTGCTGGCCCCACTGAACTCCAACCGCGACTGCGGCCGCGATCATGCCCTGGCCTGCGGAAATCTCGCATCGCAAGTAGCACGCGGCCCCGAGGTCTGCGCGCTCCCGAATGCCGACGAGAGCTAGCGCGCAACTTGTTCGAATGATCTTCTCGAGTGGGATCGCGCCTGAAGTGCAGCCCCCCGACTCCTTCTGCTCGGGCTTCACGGGGTCGGGCTCTGCCAGGCCACTGGCGAGGCCCTGGCCCGCGCTGCGCTGCGCGGGTCTGGAACCCATTGGCATCAGTAGTTACGTTACGAGCTGTTATGATTGGAACAACCTGAGCAGGGCGACGGCATCGGAGACGGCGACAAACAGGATTCGCATCTTCACCCACGAACTCACAACACGGGCAGTCACAGGATGATGGGGCCTCGGCCGAGGTCAGGGCGCGGGGCCCACAAGGCACAGATTTCTCGCTCGAGAGATCGCAGGAAGCGTCGGGCAGCGGTAGCGGGGGCACATGGCGCTCGGAGGCGGAGGAGCCGAGTACACGCACAAGACTTCTTAAATAATGGCAGCGACGTAAATGTTCGAATGGCTCCTCACGAATACTGAAGACACACCTGCAAGGCCCCCCGTCGATGTCCATCATGCACTTGAGCTGGTACTCCCCCTCAACATGATCACCGGGTTCTGCCCCAGGGCCCTGCTTCAGCGGCATGGTCAGGAGGAGGAGCGCACGCCGAGAATGCTTGACTACGTAGTTCCGTGGGATCCACCCTCTGGGAATCTTCTGATGCCTCGAAATCTGCCAGTGGCCGAAGGCCGCCAGCGACATCTCGCAACCCTTCGCAATGGGGGGGGGGGGGGGGGCGAATCAGCAGCCACTGGTTTGGGAGGCCTGGAAATGGGCACCAACACCAACACGGGGGGCTGCCTCCACAGGAGGAAGATGATCCTAGACTTCGGTGTTGGTGGTAATACTTCGGTCGCCTTGGAAGCCAGAATCTTACCACCAACGCCGAGATCGGGATCCTTCTCCCTCGGTGGAGGAACAGCGCCGATGTTGGTGGTGGTGCCAATCTCTAGGCCTGCGATGGTTCTGTCCACGGCGCGGCTCGGGCCATCGGTCGGTCTCCGCGCAGCAGGGGGGGCCATCGACTCGACGGGGGGCGAACCAGACAGTGCGCGCGGCATCTAAGTGCGCCCCATCAGGGCGCGCGCCCCAGGCCAAACGCAAATTGGCTCTGCTGATAAGAAGCTCAAGCGAGGAGGGGGTCAATCTCCACCGGGTAAAAACCTGATTGTTTGCCATCGACCCCCAATGCGGACCACCCCCAAGACATCGCTTCACCTAGCATCGCGATCCGACCATTCGAACGAGACGCCCATCTAAAATCAACGCGTCGGTCTCTGAAGCAATGATGCTCTCGAGCCCGCTCAGCCAAGCGTTCTGGGCAAAACCGATGAACAGACTACGTTCCCACTGCGTGCCCATCGCTTCGGGGCGCCCAAACTCCATTCTCGGCTCATAGAGAAAACCGATACTTCGGTGCACTACACCTCCTGGAAGGCCCATCCCTGACCGAAACGCTCCACAGGAGATGGGCCCCGGGATATCGAGCCCGCTCCTTCGCCCAGACTCCGAGCAGGAGGGGGTCTTGTAGGACAGGTGCTCGCGCTGGTATCCGCGCCCCGCGGAAAAAAAATCCCGCGCTGAGACATTCTGGTCGCAGCCATGAGCCGCGAAAACATCGAGCCGCGCATCTACGCCATAAAGGACATGCGCAAAAATTCTGTCCAAAACATCTGCGGGCCAGCCAATGCGAAGCCGCACATTCGCCCGCGAACTTGAACGCGCCAAGGTACGCTCGCAGCCCTTGCCAAGACGAGCGCAACATGTCGGGTCGCGCGTCGGCCCGACGCTCGCCACACCTCCTAGGTAAACAAAAGCGCGGGCGGCGAATGTGCCCCTCATCGGGTCCCCCTGCGCAGGTCGACCTGCGAGAGGGCCCCAAGACGTCCCCAATGAAACAGCTGCATGATTACATCATTGCTGGCAAAGTGCCTGGTCACATTCACGACAGTGCAATTGCACGGCAGCGTCAAACTGGCGCCGGGAGAAGATGTCGAACGCGTGTGACGTATCCTCCCAGCGTCATAGCGCGGGCCAGTCCTTGAGCACGCAGGCGCCACCAGGTGGCCAGCGCTCTAATCACAGTGCCCACGCGATGACGGTGGCGGAAATATACATGATCCTGGACTGCGAGAGCAGGCCGGAGGAGAGTCGAACAGAATGCTTTCCCACGGCCACCATTACTTGAAACACACGTCGGCCACGTGGACCAGCAAGGTCAGATTTGCGAGGGCCAGCTCCGTCTGTGCGGCGCCAATAAAGAGGAGCCATCTTATGCGTGAGAACCGAAGCAAATCCGACTTCGACCAAGAATCTGAAATCTGGAATTGACGGCACCGCGAAACCACTGCCAACGACGTGGCCACAGTGTTGCTTCAGAGTCCTCCTCGGCAAGACAGCTCCAGTCACAACTCCAACGGCGCCGAGAAATCTGGAACAGCTCGACGTCTTGCTGCAAGTGCAAGCCACAGAAGAAATCTACCAACATCTCCCATGCTGAAATCTATGGCATCCTCCTGGGTTCCCAAAAATACGGTTGGCATTCCCGCTCGGCACGCCAGGTACCCCAATCATGTCGGCGACCTGCAACTATGCCTTCAACACCGTCGAGAGATCACATTTCCAACCGTGCTTGTGCCGACGGAGGTGCAACACGAAGAAGGGGCCCATCTCGCTTCTTTGGTCCCATACGTGCACGGGCCGCCCTTTTCGCCAACCTCAAAGCCTCTGCCGGCTTAGGTGCATCCCGCAAGCCAGAAGCTTCGGCCACGAGCTGCGAGTGCAAAGCAAGAGCCTCTTGACGGCGAAGCAACCCCTAGGCCTGCGAAGCCCGCTACAGTTCCTCATCAATGCGATGCGCCTCGGCGTGGGTGGAAGACATCTTACCTTCACGAAGGTCTGCACGCTGATTCAGGAGACGCCGTCGCACTTTGCAATCAGCCTGCCTCTGTGGGTCGCCTCCATTGGTGTTCATACTACAGATCGAGTGGCCAGCCGACGTGATGCAGTCGTGTGAATAATTCAAGGATCTCCCCTGGGGAGCCATAATTATTCACTGAGTGTCAGCTCCTCTTACGTCCACGAGTTTCTCCACCGAGCTGAAAAAAACGACTTGCATGAGCCACGCACCATGGAATTCATCGTCTTGCCACGGACCCATCAAAGTCGTTCCTGTGCAACCGACAGTCCGATGAGGTGCTGCGCGTACATCGGGGTGCAATCGATCAGGAGGTGGCCCTTCGGACTCAGGCCGCAGAAAGCCTGCAGGCGACCTCCCAATCTGTGCGAAACCCCAGCATGGGCACTATATGGTCTCATACAGGTGGGGATGGACAAATAATCTACGCGAGATATTCCTCCATCCTGTCCGCAATACGTGGGGATGATATGGGAGGCTGGCGCGTTGGTCGCCATCATCTCATGAAATTCCAACAATTCCCGAAGCAGTTCGCCCGCTCCCTTCCGAAGACGTTCCTGAGATAGGGCCTGCACGACAAGGGTGTCAATCGCAGCCTTCCCCCCCGGTGGCACGCCGATGACATCGTTGACGTCGCAGAAACGCACGGGTGTAGTCCTGTTCGGCAGGGAAAAGGATGCCGCCAAGCCCCACTCACTGAGAACTAGGACTGTGCGAAGATATGTGATCTGTGCTGTACTCGAGACGACGCCGGAGGGAAGTGCATGCTCAGCGCGCACAGGTCAAGGTTTCGCCTCTTGATGCGAACCCCAAGACCTCGCTCCTTGGCGTCCCCATGGAAAGCCCAGGTCTGTAGGATAAGATGCTGCTATCGAAATCAATTTCCCACGATGATAGAGCACCCAACACTCGATTTACTTAGCGGAGCAAACGGACCGAAGGGAGCCTCGATGACGCAACAACCCTGGATGTGCCGTCGTGTGACTACACTTCCAGAAAACCGCTGCCTCCGATCCACGGCTTGGGTTCCGGACAATAGAATCAGGTCAAAGTTTGAAATCTGTACCACCACCTCCTCAAGCCTGTCGCCCGTACAAGATTGAGAGTTCCATTGCAGCAAGCGGAGCTGCTGTGCCATCCCCACCTGCAGAAGGGCGGCCGCATCTGGGGCATGAGGGGCCCCGTTCACGAAGAACAGTGTATGCATCTGGCTGCCACTGAAAAATGCGGACTCGATACAGACGGGCTAAAAAGAACGAGGAGGAAGCGCACGTGCATTACGAGGAGGAGGAGGAGGAAACTTCCATCCAGAATCTCCTTCAAAGACAAGTCTCCAGGCCCCTCCAAGGCACCGTCCAGGCCAGTTTCCCGAGCCGTGCCCAGAGGTGGAGGCCCCCGCAGGCCCAGAAAGGGAGGCGGAGGAGGAGGGTGTCCCTGACCGCCCCTGCCTCATCGTACGGTCAGAGCAGGGGTGCCAAGAATCAGGGCACGTGCCACCCACCCAGGCGTTCACGCATGGCCCCTGGTGTCTCGTCATCGTCGCCTCCGCGTCCTCCTCCGCCTCCTCCTCATCGTCGACGTCGTCGTCGTCGTCGTTACCGCCGCCGTCGTCGTCCCCATCCCCGTTGTCCTCTTCCTCCTTCTCCTCCTCCTCCTCCTCCTCCTCCTCCTCCTCCTCCTCCTCCTCCTCCTCCTCCTCGCCATCTCTGCTCGCGCCGCTACATCGCAGCGCAACGCTCTATCGCGCCCCCCGCCCGATCCGGCACGGCGAAGGCCCAGATGAGAAAGGTAGTGCACAAGGTGAAGCACAGGCCAACGGGGACCTCCCCGATCGGCGGAGGAGGGGAAGGGGGAGGGGGTGCAGGCATGAGAAGCGTTGAAATACGAGGTGCCCACGTGTGGAAACTCCGAGCACACGTAGGGAAAGCAGAGACAGAGAAAAGGTAGAGACAGAGAGGCAAATAGAGGGCGCAAGACAAGGACTTCTCCACAGCAAACACTGAAAGATTGGCAGCGAGACGTGAGACAGAACCGCTGGACAAGTGGAAAACGCCACACACGACGTCATGCACTGCGAGACGCCAGAAGAGGGGAAGAGGGAAGGACAAAAACGGAGGCAAGCGAACCGTGGCCTGGCCGACCGCGCTCCGGAGACACGGCGAGGCTCTGGCACGAGCAAGAGCCCGATGAAGGAGGGAGACAGGAAGGCAGAGAGCTGGACGTGGAGCGTGCCACCCCTGCATGGCCGTTCGCGGCGACAGAGAAAGCGAAAACCGACCGAGCCGACAGCGAAACCGAAACGGATCGAGACTGGCAGGCCACAAGCTGCACAGCAGGGCGCAGCGACGCAGCATTGGCACAACGACCGACCGAGCCGAGCCGACCGAGCGCAGCCGACTGCGACGCAGCTGGACGGACCGGACCGCGGCCACCGTTGACCGATGCTTGCCAGGCCGAACCTCCCCTCGATGCGCCGTGCCCCCCCCGTGCACTGGCGGGACGGAGGTCCGCCAGTCAACGGGAGGTCCGCCCAGAATGCCCGAATTGGAAGTCAGCTCGGATTTCTCGGATCGGCGCTGCCCCCCCCCCCCCGATCCCCGGCGCGCGGAGCGCGCCAGGGGACCGGCGCACACCCATGAAATCGGAGCGGAGCTCCGAAGGTTTATGTCTATGCAGTCTGTTCTTCTTTCGGCGACTACGGAGGGTGTGGTTTGCAAAGGCCGCGGCTTGTCACCCGCGCCTGGGGGGGCGGGCGAGGACCTCAAAAAAATCGGCGCCGCGCCCCAACGAGGGCAAGCTTTGGCGCAACGCGGTGACCCCCCTAAGCCCCAACATCGGCGGCGAGCCAGGGGGGAAGTGAGAAGGGGCAGGCCTTCTCAGAAGGCTCAGAAATCCCTGGGCCTTCTGAAAAGTTTCCTAATCCTTCCCCGAAGACACAAATAACTTCTCAGAAGGCCGGAGGGCTTCTGAGAAGCCCCGCCGCCTGCTGAGAAGGCCTTCTCCTTCTCACTTCCCCCCTCGCTCGCCGCCGACCAACAGCACCGATCGCTCGAGACGAGCATGCGGCTCAGGCCCTGCACTTGTCGGCGTGCACCCCGCTGCGCTCGGGGCCGATCGCGGGGCGCGCGCTGGGCATGAACTGGGCGTGCGCTGGCCGGGCAGCGGCTCGAGGCCACCACGCGGACCGGCCACAGGGGGCCCGCCGAGATGGGTCTACAGCGGACAGGCTGGGTCGCTTCGTCGGCGGCTCCTCCTCCTCCTCCTCCTCCTCCTCCTCCTCCTCCTCCTTCTCCTCCTCCTGCTCCTCCTCCTCCTCCTCCTACTCCTCCTCCTCCTCCTCCTCCTCCTCCTCCTCCTCCTCCTCCTCCTCCTTCTCCTCCTCCTCTCTCCTCCTCCCCTCCTCCTCCTCCTCTTCCTCCTCCTCTTCCTCCTCCTCCTTCTCCTCCTCCTCCTCCTCCTCACCCTTCTCCCTCCTCCTCCTCCTCCTCCTCCTCCTCCTCCTCCTCCTCCTCCTCCTCCTCCTCCTCCTCCTCCTCCTCCTGCTCCTCCTCCTCCTCCTCATCTTCCTCCTCCTCCTTCTCCTCCTCCTCCTCCTCCTCCTCCTCCTCCTCCTCCTCCTCCTCCTCCTCCTCTTCCCTCCTCCTCCTCCTCCTCCTCCTCCTGCTCCTCCTCCTCCTCCTCATCTTCCTCCTCCTCCTTCTCCTCCTCCTCCTCCTCCTCCTCCTCCTCCTCCTCCTCCTCCCTCCTCCCTCCTCCTCCTCCTCTTCCTCCTCCTCTCCCTCCTCCTCCTCCTCATCATCCTCTTCCTCCTCCTTCTCCCTCCTCCTCCTCCTCCTCCTCCTCCTCCTCCTCCTCCTCCTCCTCCTCCTCCTCCTCCTCCTCCTCCTCCTCCTCCTCCCCATCCTCCTCCTCCTCACCCTCCTTCTCCTCCTCATCATCATCCTCTCCCTGCTCCTCCTCTTCCTCCTCCTCCTGAACATGAACTTCCGGAGGTCCACGCGGATTTCTTCGATCGGCGCTGGAGCTCACTGGCGGCGCGTCTGGCCGAGGGGGGCCCAGCGCCGAGACAAGAAATCAGCTCGGACCTCCGACAGTTTATGCCAGTATGTGTTCCTAGATTCGGGTCTGGGCCTTGGGGCCTGGGCCTTGGGGAGTGGGACCTGGGGCCAGCCTTGGGGCTTGGGCGTTAGGGCTCGAGGCTTACCCGTGCAGGCGCCGGTCACGCTGCGCGGACTCGGACCTCCCCGCGCCGTGGAAATAAATCGCGGCGAGTTGTTGTTCGCCGTTTCCGGCCTCTCCCAGGGGCCCTTGCAGAGACCCAGGGCTGTCAAAAAAACGCCTCGGAACGAGAAGGCTGGCTCCAGAGAAGGCGTCGAGGCCTCGAGGAGTCCGCGCTGTGACCTGGGAAGCTCTGGGGATGGCAGCCCGAGGCGCACGAGATTCGCACACTGAAAGCAACAATTTCTGACAGCACAAATGTCTGAAAGCAAGAGTTGCCACTGAAAGGAACAGAATCTCTGATAGCCAGATTTGCCTGGCATCAAAAATCTCAATGGAAGCAATCATGGAATGAAAGCTTATTTGATTGCAATGAGCTTTTTGCTTTCAGCGCGCCCACGCTGCCCAGGGGGTGTGGGAGGGCAGGCAGCGCCGCCTGGAGGGGCCAACACTCCAAGTGCTCACTCCTGCTTCTGCTCCTCCCTCTCCTCCCACTCTTGCTGCTCCTCCTGCGGCTACGCGCAAGAGGGGCCCTGTAGGTAGGAACGACATTTGGTGAGCGTCTTTAGGAGGCCGCGGGGGGAGAGGGGGGGGGGGCCAAATCCAGTCGCGCAAGCCAGCGCCGGGGAGACCCCTGTGGTCTGTGGTCCCGCACACAACTTGACTCCAGCAAAGAGTCCGGGGGTGACAAAATACCGATGGCGCCACTCCCCAGACCTCTCGAAGGTGCGTCCCGACTTGATTTCCGAGGCGACGCCAGCCGTGTCGACGCGGCGGCATCGCCATCCTTCCCTCCCCTGAGGGTCACTCTTGCGTGCAGTCGACTCCTGCCCCTCCCGCCCCTTTCCTTCCGCGAGGTGCCAGGGCTGGGCCCACCCGGGCAGCGACCGGCTGGCGAGTTCAGCGCAGCTGGTGCTTCACAGTGCAAGGCCCCCAACGGCAAGGCTGGCAGGATCTGGCAGGCTCGACTCGTGCCGTCGCCCTGCCTTCTCTTCATCCTTTCCCTCCTCCCCTCCTCCTCCTCCCCTCGGCCCCTCCTCCTCGCCCCCCCAATCCTCCTCCGCATCACCTTCCTCCGAGGGCCAAGTGGACCGACAAGAGGCGTGCAGGAGATCTCGGGCAACGCATCTGCGCAAACGCAGGCGCGCATCCCATGCGTAGGTCTGCGTCCCTCTCTGCGCCCACATGTTCGTGTGTCAGTGTGGCTGTGCGAATAAGACCATGCGTATACGCTCAAATTTCTTCTAAGGGAGAAGATGGGAGCGGACGCGAAACAATCTACTGCCCCTCAAGGGAAGGGGGCTATCATCGCAACGGACGTGCTCTAGTGGCTGGCCGGGTAAACGTCACCACGTTCAGGGGGAGGAGCGAAGGAGAAAATAAAAGCACGCATGTCTGGATGGATGGTTTCCGATCGCCCTCCGTCCATCCATCCATGCTTCCGTCCATCGGCCAGTCTGCTTGTTTCTGGCCCTGGCCCCGGCACTAGCTCTTGTCGTGCCTCTTTCTTTCCATCCATTCCCAACCCCACAGCGAAGAATACCTCTGGCGTATCCCGCCCCCGACGCCTCGTTAAGCTCCTAGAGCGGGAGGGACGAGAGGCGGGGGAATGGGAAAGACGAGTAGGGAGAAGAGGAACGCTTCTGGGGACCCGGACGACGAGGAATGGGGGAGGAGGGGGAGAAGGAAGCGCAGAGACTCGAACCCTAAGGCCGGAATCGCGAAACTCCAGAGTTTAGTCGCCTAAGCTCCTAATTCTGGGGTGGGTGCTGGCGATGCAGCTACTGCTGCTACTGCTCCTCCTCCTCCTCCTCCTCCTCCTCCACCTCCTCCTCCACCTCCTCCTCCTCCTCCTCCTCCTCTTCCTCCTCCTCCCCTACTACTACTACTACTACTACTACTACTACTACTACTACTACTACTACTACTACTGCTGCTACTACTACTACTACTACTATTACTACTACGACTACTACTACTACTACTACTACTACTACTACTACTACTACTACTACTACTACTACTACACTACTACTACTACTACTACTACTACTACTACTACTACTACTACTACTACTACTACTACTACTACTACTACTACTACTACTACTACTACTACTACTACTACTACTACTACTACTACTACTACTACTACTACTACTACTACTACTACTACTACTACTACTACTACTACTACTACTACTACTACTACTACTACTACTACTACTACTACTACTACTACTACTACTACTACTACTACTACTACTACTACTACTACTACTACTACTACTACTACTACTACTACTACTACTACTACTACTACTACTACTACTACTACTACTACTACTACTACTACTACTACTACTACTACTACTACTACTACTACTACTACTACTACTACTACTACTACTACTACTACTACTACTACTACTACTACTACTACTACTACTACTACTACTACTACTACTACTACTACTACTACTGCTACTACCCGCGCTCCTGTCTTTTCAGCTGAATCCAAGGGTTTTGGTTTCCGTTGGGTTCTGTGTGGGTCCGTGCGGACCTGTGCGGGTCTTGGTTTCGGTGGGTTTCCGTGCGGACCCATACGGGTCTCGGTTTCCGTGGGTTTCCGCGCGGCTCCGTGCGGACCCGTGCGGGTCTGAGCATGGAACTCCGTGGATGTCCATGTGGGGTCCGCGCGAACCCGTGTGGGTTTATGTTTCCGTTGCGGGTCCGTGTGGATCTAAGTTCCAGTTGGTTTCCGAAAGTTTCCGTGCGGGTCCGTGCGGGTCTGGGTTTGCGTGAGTCTCCGTGCTGGTCCGTGCGGTTTGGGGTTTTCGTTGGCTTCCATGCGGCTCCACGACAGTATGGGTTTCCGTTGGTCTCTGTGCGAACCCATGCGGGTCTGGGTTTCCATTGGCATTCGTGGGCTCCCTCCCGTGTGGGCCCGTGCGGGTTAGCGATGGCGGACCCTGACCATGCTGGGACTCGGGTGCTATCTACGTGTTGAGAGGGCGGGTGGGAGCAAGCGAGATGACTTGCGGCTTGTGGGTAGCTTGATTCTGTAACATACACCCCCTCCCCCACCTGACTGGGGGCTGACCCAGAACCATGACGACCCCCCCACCATCCCCTTCAAAATACAATACAACGCAAAGTGTGCGGCAAAGTCTGGATTATGCACAGGCACCAAAAGATCAGTTTGCATTATCATTTGGGCAGGGGCGAGGGGGGTGCAGGCATATCGCCTGCTGGGCGCAGGCCCATCGCCCATGTCAAAGAACAATACGGAATACACGTTGCGATAGACTATTGATCATGCGCGGGCACCCCGCGATCAATCGTACCAGCCCTCTGGGCGTAGGTGGCTTAGCGAGTTATATATTCTCTCCCCCTCCCTCCCCTTGCTCGGGGGATGGTCTATTCACTGCTCCTTATTAATATACACCCCCTCCCCCACCCGGCCGACGGCCAACCCGGAAGTATGCCGACTCCATGCGGGCCCGCCCCCCACCACCCATGTCAAAAAACAATACAAACCGCACTCTGCCTCCACATTTGAAGCACGCGCGGCCAACCCGATGTGGCCCCCCCCGCCATCCCTACCAAAAAATTATCCCGGCAAAGCAACCTAACAGCGATGTGTAGGAGCATATCTGGAAGCATTCCCCTTAAGATTCGGATGGGAATCCAGTTGTAGAATTCTGCTGTTCTCGCAGTCGTAGTCGCATTCGCGATGACAGTCGCAGTGGCAACGGCAGTCGCAGTCACAGCCTGCCTCAGCCTGCCTGCATCAGCCTCAGCCTGCCTCAGCCTCAGCCTGCCTCAGCCTCAGCCTCAGCCTCAGCCTGCTTCAGCCTCAGCTCAGTCTGCCTTCAGCCTCGGCCTCAGGCTCAGCCTGCCTCAGCCTCAGCCTGCATCAGCCTCAGCCTCAGCCTCAGCCTGCCTCAGCCTCAGCCTGCATCAGCCTCAGCCTGAGCCTGCCTCAGCCTCAGGCTCAGCCTGCTTCAGCCTCGGCCTCAGTCTGCCTTCAGCCTCGGCCTCAGCCTCCGCCTGCCTCAGCCTCAGCCTGCATGAGCCTCAGCCTCAGCCTCAGCCTGCCTCAGCCTCAGCCTGCCTCAGCCTCAGCCTCAGCCTGCCTCAGCCTCAGCCTCAGCCTGCTTCAGCCTCAGCCTCAGTCTGCCTTCAGCCTCGGCCTCAGCCTCAGCCTGCCTCAGCCTCAGCCTGCATCAGCCTCAGCCTCAGCCTCAGCCTGCCTCAGCATCAGCCTGCCTCAGCCTCAGCCTCAGCCTGCCTCAGCCTCAGCCTCAGCCTCAGCCTGCTTCAGCCTCAGCCTCAGTCTGCCTTCAGCCTCGGCCTCAGCCTCAGCCTGCCTCAGCCTCAGCCTGCATCAGCCTCAGCCTCAGCCTCAGCCTGCCTCAGCATCAGCCTGCCTCAGCCTCAGCCTCAGCCTGCCTCAGCCTCAGCCTCAGCCTGCTTCAGCCTCAGCCTCAGTCTGCCTCAGCCTCAGCCTCAGCCTGCCTCAGCCTCAGCCTGCATCAGCCTCAGCCTCAGCCTCAGCCTGCCTCAGCATCAGCCTCAGCCTCAGCCTGCCTCTGCCTCAGCCTGCTTCAGCTTCAGCCTCAGTCTGCCGTCGGCCTCGGCCTCAGCCTCAGCCTGCCTCAGCCTCAGCCTGGCATTCGGATTCGCAGTGGCAGTCGCAGTGGCAACATCAGCGGCAGTCGCAGTGGCACTGCCAGTAGTTGCAATAGCAATAGCTACACTAGCAGCAGCAACAGTGGCCCGGGAGTGGAGTTCTGGGAAGTGGAAGAGCACGAAGTGGCCTACAGTTGGCTCCGGGCATTCAAAATGTGGCCCAGGAATGGTGTTCTGGGAAGTCCAAGAGCACGAAGTGGCCTACAGTTGGCTCCGGGTATCCAAAATGTGGCCCGGGAATGGGGTTCTGGGAAGTCGAAGAGCACGAAGTGGCCTACAGTTGGCTCCGGGCATCCAGAATGTGGCCCGGGAATGGAGTTCTGGGAGGTCGAAGAGCACGAAGTGTGTGACTGTTGGCGAAAACCGAGCCCGGCTCTGTTCCCGGTTCTGTTCCCGGTTCTCCTCCCCGGCACCCGCCCAGACCCCCCTGAGGAGTCATGATGCTCTCTTTTGACCCTACTAGAAACCTATCAGCAAAAGCTGTTAGGTAACAATGCTAAGTACAGTTTTGGGCAAAGTCTTGAGTCATGTTCGTGAGGCCTGGCGAGCACTTTAATGTTTTTGACAGGGACGGCGGGGGTGTCAGCATATTCCCTGCTGCGCGCAGGGCTGCATCCCTGACAAAAATACAATACAACATGCACCTCGCGGTTAAATCTGAATCATGCGCGGCCATCCCGCGATCACTGTCAAGTGATTTTGGTCAGGGACGGCGGAAGTGGTGGCGCGTGGCCTGAAGTGCCCAGGCCCACCAGACAATGATGGGCATTGATTTTCGGCAAGGATGGCGGGGGCCGACATGTTTCCCGATGTGTGCTGTCACGTGCGCAGGCGCACCTGGCACACCCTGCACGTGCCCCGAACGTGGCGCACCTGGCCCGGCTGAATTTTGCGGCGCACTTGGCGCACGTGGAGCACGTGGCGCATCTGGCGCACCAGGCGTACCTGACACGCTCGGACCCCAGGGGTGCCTGGCGCACCAGGCGTGCCTGGCACGCGTGGCGCACCTCGCCCAAGCGTCGCGCACCTGAGGTCGGTTTTGGCTCCCAGTAACGACCGCTGAACATGCTGAGGCTCGGGTGTTACGTATGTGCTGGGAGGGCGGGTGGGAGTGAGCTAGACGGCTTCTTATCTCGGAGGGTGTCTTGATCACTGTTCCTTGTTAATATATACACCCCTCCCCCAGGCGACCCGGGGCCAACCAGGCACCATGTCGACACCATGACAACCCGCCCCCCACCATCCCTGCCAAAAATAATACACACCGCACTTTGCCTCCACATTTGGAGCATGCGCGGCCAGCCCGATGCGGCCCCCCCCCACCATCCCTGTCAAAAAAATGCTCAGTATACTTTGTGGTAAAGTCTTGAGTCATGTTCGTGAGGCCCACGAGAGTTTTGTATTGTTTTTGACAAGGACGGCGGGGGTGTCAGCATATTCCCTGCTGCGCGCAGGGCTACCACCCCTACAATACAACATGCACCTCGCGACTAAATCTGGATCATGCGCGGCCATCCCGCGATCACTGTCAAGTGGTTTTTGGCAGGACGGCGGGGGTGGTGGCGCGTGGTTTGCTGTGCGCAGGCCCAGCAAACACAATTATGGGCATCGGTTTTCGATAAGGATGGCAAGCCGACATGTTTCCCGATGTGTGCTGTCACGTGCGCAAGCGCACCTGACGCACTCTGCACGTGCCCCGAAGGTGGAGCCCCTGGTGCGGCTGGAGTGTGCGGCACACCTGGCGCACTCGGAGCACGTGGCGCCTCTGGCGCACCAGGCGTGCCTGGCACGCTCGGACCTCAGGGGTGCCCGGCGCCCGTGGCGCCCCTGGCACGCGTGGCGCACCTCGTCGAAACGTCGCGCACCTGGGGTCGGCTTTGGTTCC